CTTTACAACCAAATTGGGAAAAAGTTTTACATAACTCAGTTCCATGGGGAGTTTTCCTGTGACAGTTGACAGCCATTAGGCTTGTTTGATACTAATGAGGGCAGACAGCTATGTAAGCTATTTCCTTCACTCACAACTATTTAACTTCTAAATTTGTACTTAAAAAAAAAAAAATCCAGCCTCAGCAGCTTTCTGTGGGTTCGTTTTACTTCTCTGACTTAAGTGAATGCCATTTCTATTCTGCATAGGACTGGTAATTTTTTTTTTTTTTTTTTTAAAGAGTGATGTCAAAACTCTCTGCCCTGGGATCCTGTCCTGGCTGTATAACATGTCTAAAAAAAGTCCAGAATCTTCTTTTAATGTTTAACATTTTTTTTCTCACTAAACAAACCTTTGTTGTTGCAAAAACTACACACACGTTAACTCAGCAGGGTTGACACTGAAGCAACATGGAATTACTGTAAATAAGACCAACTGGCCTTAATCCTGTCTCCAGTAAGATGAGCATTGAAACTTGTGCTGTCATTAGCACAAGGGTTTTGCAATATTCCTTCCCTCTCTGGACCAATAGATACTTAATTAGTTCTACAAAGAACAGCTCCAGTTTCTGAAAGCAGCTTTAATAAGGGTGGAGGAGAGATTTTCTAAGCCAGTGATCTGAGACTCCTCTCTGTGATTATTTAGCTATCTATACTAGGTAGTGTCATATCCCTTTATTTTGAGGTTTCCTATTCAAGGCCAAACCTCTCTTTTATTTATTTGCATGGTTGTGCACAGGTACAAACTGACGTGTCAGCAGCTGAGACCAAATAAACTGTATTCTAAAATGCCAACCTAAATGATTACTAGACAGCAGGAAGGTTACAGCAATGAAGACACTCTGCTAAACACTGGAGTACTTATCTAGGTAATTACATGTTCTCATTTTCAAAAATTAATTAACCGTAACTTTTTTCCTGATAATCTGTGGCTTAGTGTCTTGATAAGCAATATGCAATGCTCTAATATTTCTTAAAATCTGATGTAATAAATGTCAGTATATGTTCTATATAGGCCACATCCAATATTCTGATATGTATTACTAATGTCTTGTAGCTCAGAAATAGCATTTGATTCAGTAAAGTCAGATTTTATTCTATCAGACTTACTAGCTCATTGCTAAAAATAACTTTAAACAAAGACCATGCATTTGTTTAAAAAAAAAAAAAAAAAAAAAAAAAAACAAAAACAAAAAAAAAAAAAACTCGGTTCTCTTAATTATAATGATGCTTACAAATCTGTTAAATTTGAACAATAATCCAAGAGTTTGGATCTCCCTACTTTATTATTCCAAGAGAAGCCTTTTTCAAAAAGAATTTGGTCACGCTTTCCTGCTCCTTAGAATTACTGTATATAGGGCCCTAGAAACTAGTTACTAGTAACGGGCTGTACAAGCAGGGACACCATGCACAGATTGGAGAGAGGAGGGAAGAAGAATTTAGATTATTACACTTTATTGTCTTGTTCATACAGTGTCTGTGATGACTATGATTATCTCAAATGTCTGCTCATTAGTCATATTTAGTCACAATCTGTTTATTGATGAAGAATGGTATCTTTAAGTTTAAAATCTGAGCTACAGTTCCAAAATTGTTTCTTTTTATAATATAGATGGCTTTGCTTCTTTTCCTTAGGTAGAATCATGATGCTGGGTAGAGATTTACAGATTTAGAGCTTTGAATAACAGTGACAAGGATCAGGCAGGGATTTAAGAAAAATGTAAATCTTTCTTCTTTTCTCCTGGTCCACCCTGACCTTGCCTCAAGGCTTCACTCCTCCAGGAATTAGGCCAGTTTAATTCTATTTTATGCTGTTCGAGTTCTTACACTGTTCTCATCCACACAGCTTTGAACCTGCAAGGTGTTGGAATACTTTAATCAGCAGGACAAATGTGATTTTCTTTCTCACTTTCTCCTGCTGCTGGGAAATAGCATGCACAAGCACTTCCAAGGTCTGTAGAAGTGTTAATATTACATGTATTTTGTGTATGTACATGCTAAAAAAATATGAGCTAAATATATATGCCTTTCACCAAGAGCTAGATGATGAGGAAGACTGTAGTGGTTCTTAGACCTTATGAATTTCTGCCTTTCCCACTGATCAAACTAATCTGGAGAACTCTAGAGGCTTTTAAAAAAGTGTATGTTTTTTACTTTTATTTTCCTCTTTTTTTTTTTTCCCCCTCAGAAAGAAAGGTCAAGTTCATCAGTGAAGGAAACAATAGGATCTTCAAGTGAAAGAAAACATTAGGCAGAGTAATAAAATATCTATTGGAATTTAACTGAAACACAGTTACATTTTCCATTGGAAAAAATATTCAACAGAATGAATACACTAAAAGAAATTATGTTGTAAGAGGAACAACAGAACTCCTGCTGGTCTATACATAGAGCAGTAAGAAAAGGAATGAATGGGGGCAAATGATCGTTTTAAAAATTACTATTTTAAATTTACAAATTGCTATAGTGGTATGTAGTTTTTAGGTGTACTTAGAATATTCTCTTTATTTCAAGGTCATTTTTTTTTAATGTCCCTTTGTAGGAATTTCAACTGCTCACTTCCTCTGTAGTATGCATGCATAATCTATTTTTATTTCCTGCCTACTGCTATCTTTCATTTACTCTCCACCAGCTTAGTTGTCTTGGGCATCTGCAAAATGCATTTTCCATTTGCAATGAAATCCTACGAAAATCAGGTATGCTGCATATATTTTTTTTTATCAGCTACAAAAAGGGATCCTTGTCCCCCTAGCCATCAAATTGCCAATACGTTTAACTCCCAGGGCTTTATTCTACAGCTGCCTCCTGTTTTTGCAACAAGAGAAAAATGCCTGCACTGTAGAAGTAATAGATAAGGCATGTGAACAATAAAGACTGCCTTCCAAAGTATAATTTTCTTCATTTATACACAGATGTAAATCAAGAGAAATTTCTAGATGTCTGTGAAAATGATGTCTATTAGTATACTGTCAGTGGAGACCATATAGTTAAGAGACAAAACCAAATCTTTTTCTTTCCCACATTAAAGACTCTTTTTACATTTTGACAAGTCAATATTTTCTGCATATAATGCTGCTTTGTTCAGTAATGGGCAGTAATAAAACAGCTACATGCCATGTTATCATTTATTTGCCCATATATCTTTCAAAAAGCAAAGATACACTTAAGGTACACATTATAATTTAAATTACCTTTAGAACTCTCAAAAAATCAGGCTATTTTTTTTTTCTAAGTAGAAGACCAAACATTTGTAGGAAAAAAAGATTCCTTTCTTCAGGTCTCATCACAAAGAAGGAATTTCAGCAAGTGCCCCATTGAGACTTCATTTGCAAAAGATGCATCTTCCCTGAATACCTAAGTATGCTTTCCATATGCAGAGCACTGGAAAGGGCTATAGATATGTCACAGAATACTTACCTCCTCAATAATGTAAAATAATTCGTAAGAATTTCGGTCCTCCCTTCCTTCCTAACAGAACTAATGAAAACCTGCAAACTGAACAGATACTCTTTCCAGAAAGCAATATAATAATTTCCTTGGATTTTTATTTGAAAATCCAGAAAGATTTAGTGTATAATTAGGGGTACTAACATCATTAGATGCCTTGGCAATTATGAATGCTTTAGCCCTTGGTGAACCTGATCAGCATGAGAACTGCTAAGAGTTATTCACACTTGCTGTGAGAATGGACCAGTGTGAACTACCTGAGTTATGCAGGCTGTCCCAGTAAATAAAACAGGCTGTTTATGCTCTTACAGTATGATATGTGGTACCCAGTTCTGTACACTATTATAGCCAGCCACAATTTGTAATTTATAACTTGTCAGTAATTCAACCTTTGTCAATTACTCATTGATTTCAACGTGATTAAGCACTTTAATACTTCCGCAGTACTAGCTAGCCCTACTTCCACTAATTACTTTTGGTTTTATTTATGCATGCAGTTTTAAGTACGCTAGCTTTTCTTTCCTTGAATATTGCAGAAATAAAAAGAAAACTACACTGTAAATATTGGAAGTTTGTAGGAATTTCTATCTGAAATGTTAAACTTTCTAGAAGACCATGTAAAAGCTATGAGATAAGATAAAGGCTTTTTATTACTGGCATCAGTAAACATTTTTATAAACCTACTTCTAGAAGAGGATGTACTGCTTCACTCCAACAAAGAGTGTGTCTCTGTTAGATTATATGCTTTTTTCTGTTTTCCGCTCCCTCCTAATTTACCCCAAGGCAAGCAACCAAAAAGCACACGACTATGCGCAAAGCACAAGACTCCTGCACTGAAATAGCAACCAGCGCTTCAAAGGTGTGTTTTCCTTCATGCAAATAATCTGAGCAGAGGTTTTGCAGCCAGTTAGAGGAGCAATTTATGCCTGCTGCATATTGACATAGTGTTTACATGGTCTCCTTGTCATCTGCACACAGATGACTTTCATTCCGTGCTGCTGTGTTTTATTGAAAATATTCCTCCTGACAGTTATTCAGCTTCTGCCTCAGTCTTCCTCTGCAGTCTTTCTCAAATTAAAAGGCTATAGATCTCATAGACTGGCCTAAGCCAGTTTTAAGTCCTTACGGTCTTATATATGCTGTTTTCAAAATGTGGAAAATGATTGGCTAAATCTGGTATAATTGTCTTGGAGTTATGCATTTAAAAAGATGGTTCAAGTCCTTATATATGCACACTACGCATGCATGCGCCCTTTGATTCTCATACAACTTTTTAGCATCACAATTGAATAATATTTTATGGATTTCACAAGCAATGATATAAAAAATTGAAAGTGTATTTTCACTTTGTATCTACAGGAGAAAAAAAAAGGGAAAAATTGCCTTTAGAAACCATGGTGTATAAACCTAAAACATAATTTACCTCATCTAGCCTATCCTAAAGCAAAGATCTCGGGAGCCAAATATAACTATGATGACTTCTGAATTTTCCGAGATGTATATAAAAGGACTTACTGTGATGATTAGCCCTTTTTCCTGGAAATATTTAACCAGTGGGACAGCATTTTGCTTGAAATTCATTAATCTCCTCTGTGTAGCTTTCAGGTTATCATCAGGTCTCCCTTGCTGCTCAGCACGTTTCAGTAATCTTTCTTTCAGCCTTTGATTGGAACATGCCAGAAATACGACCAAATCTGGAGTACAGATCTGTGGAAAGAGCAAGTCAAAAAGTTGTCAATTTAGTTGGCTCTCCAATAGAAAAACACTCCATTATTAAGTGAAGCTCAAATATGGTACATTTATTCAAATCCAGAACTTGATTAACTTTTTCTTTCTTTCTCTCCTAATAGGAAATTCATAGGCTTGGGAAAGGGCTTGCCTCATGTCACTGTTTATTTATGACTCACCTTGAAATTCACCTTGAAAAACCTTAATGAAAGCATTTTACATCATTTCAGAGACCTTTTCTAAGCTATATATTTCTCCTTTGCATTAGCAGAAGATTCCAGTAGCTAAAATGAAAATCAGTGTCCCATATTCTGCAGATAACCATATGACTTTTATTTAAAGCGCCACTCTATAAGGTGTCATGTGAAGTTTAGCTCTATAGCGGCTGCTAACTGATGTGTAGGACCAGGTGAAGAGAGATCTGTTCCAGGATCCACAGTAAACTTACTCATTGACTTATGCACACTCTTGCTAAGAATTAGTTTTCCTTGTAAATGAATTTATGATAATCACACCTGTCTCTGGTTACCTTTTTAGTTATTACTAGTGCACTTTTATTAGTACTTCCACTGATGCTAACAGTCTAACACTAGCTTATAAGCAGGATGAGAAATCTTCAAATGCTTCCAGCTGTAGCTGGCACTATCCCCAGTTGCAGTGCTCACTCACAAACAGAAAAGGCCTTTGTATTTACCCTGAGACTTCAGTTTTTGCATTTTGAAATGCATTTTATTCACTCAAATAGAGTGTCAGTGAAAACAAATACTTAAAATTCTAAATTTATGAAGCTCAGTTTCAAATTAAGTACTGTTTACAAGACTTTTGAAGTGGGGAAAAAAGTTAAGAGGTATTTTACTTTTTGAGATAGGAATATGAAATAGATCCTGATTAAGTGATGTCTCTATGAATGCATCTGTTATTTGAAAAACATGCATCTTTGCCATTAGAAAGTAGATAAAAAAACATGTAAGCATACTTTTCTGTTTGTTTTTAGATATGCAAAAGACTATCATCTCTTCTACACCCCAGGGTATGCAGACCTAATACCACTTCCTCTATTTCTCCTACACACTTTATAACCTCCAGGGTAAACCTGTGAAATGCTATCAATATTTCACTCCTGTTTTCCTGAGACACTCTGCTCCCATTTACCTCAACTGCAATTGCCTGCAAGACTTGCTTATAAATTTAAGCTGGAAGGTAACAGACTACTATGAACATATAGACATCTGGGATTACTTCTCTGGCAAAATGTCTAGTTCTCCTACGTAAAAATAAGTACAAATCGCGTTTTCCTAACAAAGGTAATGTTTTTTTATGACTCATTGAAAACAAACCTATTTCTGAAACTCAAAAGTAAATGTTGTTGAGTTTTATAACTAGGAAATAGGTTGTGCCTTTGGATTCAATCTGCAAAAAAGGTGCTGCGTATAGAAGCAGCACAGGCAGGAGAATTGGATTTCTTCCTGCCATTTACCCCCCAATATGCTCCTTGTGTTGAAGGCAGAGGGTCTTATTCTTGTCCAGGAATGTGTATGAGGAAAGAAACCATTAAAGAAACCATTTTTGTGTCATCCACATAAGAAACTGATGGTGAAAATACACAGATTGTCCCAAAGGACAGATGGCTGATGAAAAGACCCCTTGTCCTGCCAAAGAGCAGGAATCACATCCAAAGCTGGTAGGAATCAAGGAGACTGCATTTGGGTGTTTCTGCATCTCTGTCTTCTGCCTCACTGTGACAAGGCCTTTCTTTAAGGGGGGAGGTCCACACAATCTCACCTCTGAATGAAGAGAGCAACAGAAGTTCCATACACAAGAACTCAGTATTCTGTTCAACTGCTAAGACACAAAGCATGGAGAAAACAGTACTGCACTATAACATTTGCTTTCGCAGAAAACAGGCTATAGATTTGTAATGTGATTAAGTATTAGTGCTAGAGGAAATTTTCAATTTACTACTACAACAAGCAATAGATAAAATGCTAGCGTTTTATCCTCAGCTAAACAATTTTTGTGTTGCTAATGGACATGTAATTCACACTGATATGTGCCTAGAGCAAAGAAAAAAAAAAAAAAAAAGGAACAGTAAGACTAATGACACAATCAAAATTTTTCACTTAAAGGTTGTTCTCGAAGTTATGTTCTCTCTCTCTCCCCACACACACACAGGGGAATGTAGATGTATGCATAAAGAGATTTAAAGCTGGATTAGCTTTAAATTTCTGATTTCTACAATAGAGCTAAAAATCATGTAAAAGGAAAAAAAAATATAAAAAATGCTTATTGCAGGCAATATGTAGGAAATAGTGCAAATAGTAGGAGAGGAAAAGGATAGCATATATTTCTGTCAGAAATATTATCCAAGTCTACTGATAGCTGGACACAGCTTGGTCCCAAGAAAATTAGTGGAAATACTTCCTATGCTGACTTCTGGATAAAGAAATAATTACATAAGTTATAGCAAATCATAGTTTTCTTGCTAAACATAGAGCTGGCATGGGAGACTGAGGCTCAGGGAACCAAATTTGACTACTTACTAACTGGAACTCAGCCAAAGGGAAAACGTTGGCCTATGGGTGGGTACACATAGCTTTCTGGTTACGAATAACTTTCTAAGCTTCAAATAAGACAAAGAATATATGGCATCAACTCAAAATAAAATCTTTGGGTAGGAAGTGCTCAGTTCTCTCATGCTTTTAGAACAATATTTATTAGCGAGTATATAGCGAGTATATATCCTTCTGTCTTTGGATCCAAACCCTCTTCCTAAACTGGTACAAGGAAGTAAATTCAGAGTAATCTGAATTCAGTAGTGTCACTGAGGTAAAGTACTGTAAGCGTAAAGATGCTTTCTTATCTCTGGGGATATTTTCTACATCTCCTCTTATAAGTGAGAGTAGAGTTGTTGCTTGCTAGAGAATTAGATGATTACACTATGTCACTATTCCTCATTAGGCAAAAGACAAAAAAGCTCAGATTTTTGAATCCTTGTATGTCCCACTACATATTCACGAGGAAGCTTAACTGACAGCTCATGAACAATCATTATTTTAATAGTACTTTTCATTCCAACTGGTAGAGGTTACTAGCAAGTTACTTTGTGTATATTGTATGGGTGCTTGCTCTTGTAATTAACTGTTAGCTATATATAGTTCCATCTCTACTAGATTGTAGGACTGTTTGCATATATTGTTGTCTTGTTTTACAGAAACAAAATCATTAATCGTCTTATCAAAAAATAAATCCTGCTGATGAGATTTTTTTTCTGCTTTTGAACCATATTCACTCTGCCTGTTTTAGGTACCTAACTCTAAACATCTAAAAAATACAGTGAGAAGCAAGTGGTCAGACCCTCTTATAACTGATGAAGAAAGGACTGGTTCAGATGTTCACCTGTGTAGGGCAGATAACATAGGAAATGTTATCTGTAAGCATCAACACTAACTGTACAAAGACTAAGCAGATCTCTGGTTCACAGCTGATGACCAGACACCTTCATCTACTCTGAATACTGAACTCAGGTCCCTTCCCAAGGGTCAAGGACCAGTGTAACAGTCAGATAGGGAGCAGCTCTGCTTTGGCTACCTTGGCTAGCAAGAGGAGTACTTGCCCAGAAAATAGATAACCTGAGACAAATTGTAAGACCATCCTATAGTTCTCTTGTTTAACCAAGGCTTTGAAGAAAGCAACGGAAAATTCATAGGGCAAATGAGAACAAACAAGAGGAAACACAGCAGTGTAGCCTGCTCATGTCATAGCCCTTCCATTCCTCACCCTGATGACTGGGTATACATATTCAATATGGAATTTTATTTGTGGGGATTATCAGGCTGAGACTGGAGATTCTGGGGAAGAGGTAGAAGCTGTGGACTGAGAGAGGTGAAGAAGATGTAAAGATTATGATGCAGAAAAGATAGCTTTACTGGAACAAAAGAAAAAAATATTGCAAAGAATATATAATTTCTTAATTAACAGTAAAGTCAACAGTATGTCTGTATTCAGCACAACATTTTGCTAGTTGTTCTGGAGCACATTGTTGGCTAGTGACTGAGCAAGTTCTCTATGTAAGAAGCTCCTGCACAGCATGAGTTTGGCATTGGGCCACAAACACCTACGTCTTTAGGTGTAAGGCTAAAGGCTTTAAGGGGACTGCAGACATCATTACTGAAGGTTTAAGTATCAGACCTGCAGGAACAGTACTGCTTCCATAGCCCATGAGGTACTGACAAGAAGTCAGTTCTTCTGAACTTCCAATTCTGCCCCTTTTACAAAGTTTTCTTTACTTAAGCACAATAAAATCCTGAAATAACTTCCATAGGAATAAATCTGGGGGTTAAATAGATAACTTGACTCGTAACTGAGCTGAACTACTAATTTTTTTGTGGGTATAGTGCCTATATGAATGTTCCTAAGGGTGTTTTAAACAAAGAATAAGAATTTTCTACTCTCGTTCACTATTTAAATTAAGACTTCAGTTTTTATCCAAATAAATCCTCATCACCCTGGCCATAAGTCACCAATTAAAAAAGTTATCAAATAATTTACACAAATATATTCCTTCTCTTTTATCAAGGAATTAAGATATACATTAATCTGTATTCATTAACTCTAATATCTGTTCTACATTTACAAACAAAATTCAGCTGTATTTACTGAAATTAACAGTGTTAATGGTAAAAAAACTGAAAGGAAAATTTATCTACAAATGACTGAAAATAGGAAAAAGGGTAATAAATGCAATTAACAGGAAAATACTGAAGTGAAAAATTGTTTTTCCGAAGAAGGATAAAAATTTAACAGCATCTGAGACATCAGACAACAAGTCAAAGTGCATTTTTTTTCTCCACATTTCATCTTAGTTCAATGCACCACTCAAAGACATTTCATTACAGTGTTGCTGGAGGAAGATATTTAGCATGCTTGGACATGCCAGTACTGCAGGTGACTTGCTGAATTTCAAGCTGACAGGTTAATGGTAAACAAACCATTTTCTTCTTGGCGTTTTCCAAAGTGTGCTTGGAATCTAAACAACTTTGCAGCATTTGCACTCAGCAGGGATATGGAATTACTCTGAAATTTCTGGTTTATGGGTCAAACTGAAAGGATAAATCAGTAGGAAATCAATGCTAGGGCCAATCAAAAGGATTTTTAAATGATAAAATCCAGACATTCTCAGATGTCTGAAGCAGTATGAGCTTCAGACTGCTAGAAATACGAGCTGGAAATTCTTTCTATTTGCCTTTAAGCTATTCAAATTCATGTTTTTACTTTTTCTTCTCAATCATGACCACTTGAAACTTACTTTGTTTTAAAGTGAGATTCTCATAATCACATGAGTTCAAGACTTTATTAAAAGTACCACTGCCATAATGACTGTCAGTATTGACTCTGCTATCTGGAATTGAGAAAAGGGAGAAAGAAAATTTGGCAAAAATCCAAGACTTTCTATAAGATAAATGTTATGTATTCAGTCTAGATAGGTGAAATTAAAAAAGAAAAATGTAGGCCTTATTTCTACTCAAGTCAGAAGTTCAGAGAAAACTGAGTGACTTCACCAGTAATCAAAGCTCTGAATTCTCATTGACTAAAATTAATAATAATTAAATGAAAGTAAACTCATAATACAATGAAAGAAAGCCAGTTTACAATGAGAGTAAATTAAGAATAAAGATGGTTAATCAAGTGACCATAATGGCAGAGTTGCTGCTGGCTGGTAAGTACTGCTGAAAATCTAAAAACATCCCTAATGACACCTAACAGTCATCTTTTCTGCTCAAAATATATTAGTTAAAGGAGCAGTGATATGAACAAAACTGGATAAAATAACAAAAGTTGATCTTTAATTCAAATATAAAATTCCTCAAATGTGTAGGCTGTTTTTTTTCTACATTTATTTTGGTTTGACTTTATTATTTGGAAGCTGCGTCTGTTCCCTGTGTCTTCTAGTCCTGAATAGGAAAAGAAATACTGTGATCCTATGAGTGCAAATGATATCTTGGTTTATCTTAAGCACTTTAATCACTGAGATGTAATGTTTTAATACTCTTCTGCCTAGCAACACTTCCAGTACTTACTGTCCACAAGAGACAGCCTGGCAACATAATAAGGAGAAAAATGTAATCTTTTTAGCTATACCTATGTTTGGGAATGTTAGCATAAGTTGGTTTGCTTTGACTCATTTACTAAAAATAAAATTTCTTCCTAGAAAAATGTTCAGCTTCTGGATTAGCAAAGGGATAAAAATGTGTTGGCAGTATCAAGAGCAATTACATATGAATTTTAACAAGAATTCATTATCACTGTATATTTCAATACTTTAAGACTACTCAGGGCAGGTACTAGAACTATGAAATAGAATTCACAGATACATATAGCCCTATATATACTTACATATTTCCCTATATATGCATATAATATATATCTGCTTACACATCTGTAACTTTTTCAGAAGATAGATGATGAAAGCTCAAATAATGTCAAGTCTCCGAAACAGCTATGTAAACTATAAAGCTGAAAGGTTTTTCTGGTACAAATAGTTTTGCTTGTCTTATGCTAAAGGTGTCTACAAACACAGTACACTTATTTTTCAACATATGTTTGCGAAAGAAACCAAACAACCTATCTTTTCCTTTCCACTATTAGTATGGTGAACCATTCCCTAAATAAAATTAGGTTTTTTGCTTGTTTGTTTGTTTGTTTTTTAATAACTCAGCACAGTTCATTCTGGTGAAAATCATGTTATTCATACAAGGAGATACAAGATTTATTCCTATTGTAATATATGAAATAGTTCAGTAAGGAATGTTCTGGGATCTCTATAGCTTTAGCGTTCGGCAGCAAAACAGATTTCCCCCTTTTCTTCCAGTTGTTTGGGATCTGCTGTCCACCCCAAGCTATGGCAGGTGTAGCAGAGGTGGCTATCTTAGATTAGAAGATGTCCAGGTTTTTGCAGCCTCATTTTTATAGGTCTCCTCTTCTACTCGCATTCGTTCAGTCCCTGTTTCAGCCTTACCTATTCTCCCCACTATCTTGTATTACTTCAACAATATTTCCATGAGTTTAGTGACTCACCCCTAAATTCACTCCTGCCATCTGTCATTTGTTTCTCTTATTTGTTCTTTTATCCTGTTTTTGTTTCTTTTATATAGGTATTAACCTATATTCTTTGAGCTTGGTTTTTCTCTTTTTGTCTGTGTAAATAAGGCCAAAGGAGGAAGGGGATAAAATGCAAAATGCTACTTCTAAAATGAAAGCTTTTCTTTTGCCTTTTTTTTTTTTTTTCAAACTTCCACAGAATCCCAGGCAAATACAGAATCCAAACACACTTAAGCAATAAAGAAAAAATCAATAGCCACCCTTGTTTCTGCTGCTCATTCTTTCCACTGGTATCTAGTCTATATCCTATACAGTTGAAGAGGCTTAGATAGCCAGTGCATAGTTGGAATATTCTGTTTGCCCTTACAGAAATCTGTATTTTAATTTACTTCATTATCTCCAGAAGTGTTTTAGCTTTTTTAGCTGCTTTATGGAGCAAATAATAAGGTACAGTCACTGTTCTAAACTATATGACTTCATTTTAGAATCCATGTAATCTAAACAATTAACAGTTATGAAGAGATCATGCAGCGAGGGAAAATGGTTAACTAAATAGTAAGTCCTATTATATGAATCTTTAGACAGTTCTCCTAAATGTAACCTTTAAAATGTAATGTAATGTAACCTTGTGTTACATAACCTTTTCTACTGTTTTCAGGTACATATGCATGTAATTATTTTAAAGGAACCATTTGAATGAATAAGTAAGAATAAATCCCTGATGAAATTAGCAACAGTACGAATAATTAGCTCTTATTCAGACTTTTTATCAATAGACCTCCATGTGCTAAAAAAATAAAATAAAAAAGAATGTAAGAATAAGGCACGATTTACAGAAATGTGATTTTACTATTCCTGTTTCATGGAATTCCACCCTTTTCTTGTGAAGCATATTCCATTGCTTAATAAGTCTTTCTCTAATTAGAAACCGTCTTACCATTTAGTCAAAACTTCCTTTGCTGAAATCTCAATTCATTATTTCTCATCTTGTCACTTTTGGCTAATGAGAACAATTTTGTACTTTCCTCATTATAAATTATGAATTTACACACTGCTAGGAAGAAAGCTACAACATTCATAAGCCATGGAAAACACCAGTCACATCTTTAATTGCAGAACTACACAAATTATGGCAAGAGTTAATTAGTAAATTCTTCACAACTCAGTTGTGCTTTCCATGTAGAGATCTTTGAGCTCCTTAAAAATGTTAGCATATTTAATGTAAATAAAGTGACATGCCATGGCTTACTCTCAGCCTTACAGTGAGGGAAGATGGGTGCCACCAGGGAAGTAAGTAGCTCAGTACAGTAAGAGTGTGGCAGAGCTGTGGAGGGGATCCAAGTCTGCTGATCTAAGTCTGCTGACAGTCAACTTCTGTTATCACAAGACCACACTTCCTACGTGAGTAGCATTATGGCTTACTAAATAGAGAACTTTAAAGAAATAGCAAGCATATTTTATTTATTCAAAATATAAATACAAGATAAAACATTGAACATATCCTGCCGGATTAAATAGGCATTTTATGTTGAAGTAGGAGCATCCTTTGTTTGCAGTTTTTTCTATGGATTTGGATATACTCGTATAATAGGTCAGAAGGAAAGGTGAAGTTGGGGGATGCCCTAACCAGGCTAAATAAGTTCTTTCCTATGCTCCCATAAAGTTTCTATAATTCCCATGGTGGAACTGCTGATTTTTCTTTCTATCCTTTCCCATATTTATCTAATTGTGAGTGAGATTTAAATATGGCCCTATATGAAGTAGGAAATGTTTCATATTAAATGAGGAAATTGTATTAAAAGACATTAGAATGGGCGTGTTTGAGCACACACAATACATAGTGTTCATCCTTCCCTCCTCCCCTGACACTGTGTTGCCTGAGCTTCTGCTATTACCTCCTTATCTTTATGAGGTGTTAGTGGTATTAATGGATAGTGTTTACAAGGTGTTATACAATCTTCTCTTTTGTTAATTACAACGTGATATAGCTTGCAGTCATTGGCCATTTTCTGTAATAACTACTTTTTCTGTTTCCTTTAATTTCCTCAATTCAGTCTTCTAAATTTTGCCCAGAATACCTTACACACTAATGAAATGTCTCATTAGCTGGTTTCCTTTGTTACTTCTGTCTTGGCAATGCCACTTAGAATTCAAAGTACAGAAATGGTAGTACAGTGTTTACAATAACCAAAACACAGCAAGTTTCTTAGAAAGAAAAAAAGAGCATTATTTCTTGTTTGGAAAAACCTACAAAGCATAGGTAATTTTAATCCTCTTTTTACGCTAGTCTTTTCAGTGCACTGTAGTAATCTTGAGATCAAATGCATTGTGGAGACATGCACTGATTAAAGTGTGCTTCTCCTAATGTAAATTAAGTTAGATATGGAAAGATAATGGTTCTTGCACTTTCCCAAATATTAATACCTGGAAAATAGTACTTTTTAGATTTGATGTTATTTCCTCCTTCATCTTTGAGAGCATTTTCAGTGCTGAAACTGGAGTCTTGGATTATGGGTTATATTATCACACTGTCTTTTTACAAAATATTCTGTCTTTATAGTGTAAGGCAAAAGAATAACCTTTTATCAACCTATAATTAGGCACTTGCAAAGATTTAAAGAGGAATGCTCAGTTAGAAATATCATCTAGTACTCCTTGGAATCTGTCTGTTAATTTGACGAAGTCTAACTGCTGTAGAGACATATCAGTTATTTTAAGAATAAAAACGATCTCTTACTTGGTCCTCAAAGGAGATTGCCTGGGCAACGTCTCTGGGAAATCCATCAATCACTATACCCTCTTCATCAGGGATCTGCATTAATCTCTGCTTTATCTCAGTTATGGTTGTTTCCTTTCACAGAGAGAAAAAAGTATTTATTCAGTTTTGTAAATGAAGTTTTCATGATGATGCACATTAATAAAGCTTTTACAGATCATTAGAAAGCAAAGATTAACAGAGGATAGGCTTAATTCTGTTGTACCTGAGGAGCCAGTTCTCCAGTAGTAATTATTTTAGCAATTAAGCTCCATTTTCTATTGCTGCTTGTGCTGTGGATCTTCTTCCTTAACAGTTCACCAACTGATATGTAGTTAAATCCATAACGTTCTGCTATTTTCAAACTTTGTGTTCCTTTACCGCTTCCCGGACCACCTGGTGTTAGTTATAAGCAAAACATCACATTAAACTTCTATCTAAAATACTCCATCCTACATGAAATTATTGTTATAAGACCAACGTCCCAACCGTTATTAGAACAAATCTTGCAATTTTCCATGCCTTTAGAAAACGTTCTCATCCAGGCCTCAGGCCAGAACATGAAAGTAACAGTTTGTAAAAACACAACTCCATCTGAGAAGAAAAAAATGTACATGTTCTTTTGGGCACAAAGCCCTTCTAAAGCTGTTCCTCAAAGGAAGTTTTTATTTCTAGTAGAGAAATAAACCACACTTTTCTTGAACACTGTGCGTCCAAAAGTAGAGCCATATACTCTGAAAGCCTTGACAGAAAGAATTACACTTGACTAAGAAAATCTATTCAAGAATAATATATATATATATATAAATAATATATAATATAAATAAATAATATAAATATATAAAATCTGTTCCTAAGTGTGTGGCATGAGTTTCTTAGTTCTTCGTTTGTTGTCGTTTTCTTTTCTTTTTTTTTGTATTTTTAAAATACATAGAATTATTAAATAATCATCTGAGATGTTTCCATAGTGATTTGTTACAAGGACTTTCTGTTGAACCATGCATACTTCTGGTATTGATGCTTGAAGCATTAGGGATACAATTTGTTAGGTTCAGCTTGCTGGACAGCATGAAGAATAAAGAAACCCTGCAATACAGCACAGGCAGAGTATGCATCAAAATCACAGAAAACAGCTACATTAGCCAGCAGGAAATGATGAAGTGAAGGTCAACTGAACAGGAGAAGCAAGAATATGTGTAAACAGAACACCAAAAGGTCTCAACTAAAAGGACCTGCTGTGACAGGAGGGACAAATACTATAGAAATTGGAATCTGTTATGTAAAAATAGGAGTTTGTTTTGATAGAAGTATTTATATGGAGGAAAGCATACATTATTGAATAGTGTAACAAAGCAAGACTAAAACATATGTTCTGATGTGAATTTTCAGCACTTAACAGCTATATTTGGGAGTGTTCTGTCTATGAACTTGAAAAAGTGCAGCACTGCCATGAAAGTAAATATGAATACAATGAGTTGTTTGGTAGCAATCATAAAACTCTTATATGTATTATCCCCACAAATAGCTTTTTTAATCATTTATATAATTAACACTGCATGATAGGCTCTATAGTGTTTTTTTTTCATATATGGATATGACACTCTCCTTGTGACCAGCTTCATATCTGCACCCCAGATACATGTCAGAGAGTTTTCAGTGTCACCAGCAATCAGGAACTCTTCTGTATGCCCAGTCCTAGTGGTGGTAACTCTCAGCCTGGCTTTTGCAACTCACATTCGGACCCAGTGGAGAAGAATGTGCATGAAAACTCTCATTTACTATTTAAATTAACACTTCACTTTTTTCAAATAAATCCCTGAATGTGCATTGTCAACAAATTCCTGCAGCCTTTTTTGCTTACATCCTTAGATAATGAATGCTTTATCACTACTCAGTTTAAATAATACTTTAATTAAGATAGATTAGGAAAATCTAAATATGAGCATATATTCATAGCATCCAAACAGACAATACAGTCACTAATGTTCATGGAACAGACAAGTAAAGGAAAGAAAAGCTATGCCTGGTGAATAAGTAGGATTATCGCTAGTTTCCAGAATGACTGCTGATTCTGTGGAAAGATATCTATAAATAGCTCTCTAAATATTTGCAGTACATATTGAAATCTAATGAGCATAACAACTAATATATGTTATATATTATATGCATGTGTTTATATATACGGATAACAGTTATTAGTATGAATTTAAATTGATTTATTCAGTGGCAATAACCCTAGCTAGTGGACAAAAGGAGAAGTAGATTGTGATTGTGTTTTGAAGCAAAGGTTTATAAAATGTACTGAAGCCAATACACCATTTAATTCTTGCAGGAAAAAAAAAAAAACAACCTTCCAAGGAAGGAAACTCAGTTTATATTTATTTATATACTAATAAAACTGTTGTGTGAGGCTGGTGACCTCAGGTAATTCATTTTTAAATCTTTTTATTCAGGCTGTATCAATAGTAAAAATGCGATTGCCGAAATATGTTAGGAAGCATATTTTCAATCTACTCTCCCAGTGTTATAATCCCTTAGAAACTTAATTTTCCATTGATTCAGAGATGTGCCATCCTGGCTGGTTTCATGTGACTTTTCTATAATCCAGTCACATACTCACTTTGCAGCTTTGTAGCCTTATATTTCACCAGTAGATTTTTCTGCAAACACAGAAAAAGAACAAAATACCCACCTTTTTGAGCGAGTTATTCTTCACATTGAAGTTATCTCGTTCATTATAAGGGTGATAGATTTTATAAAGCAAAGAAAATGTGAAAACTTCACGGAAACATTTAAAAGATCTTGGGGTAATGTATTATTAATGAGAAGTTCATCTAATATGTGAAGCAGAAGACAGCTATTTAATCCGTTTCAGTCTCCCAAATGAATGGGCCTAGTGCAATCCTAGTTAGGCAGTATGGTTAGGCAGATGGAAGTAACTTGCTTAATTGAGGCTTTAGCTGTCATTTTATAAAACTGAAAAGTATGCAACATTTATTTTTCATGTAAAATTTCAGTCTCTGCAATTTAGCAGGGTACTTTTTTCATTTTCTCTTTTTTATTCAGTATATTAATTATTCTTTTACTCTTTCTAGTGTACGTCCTTGTGTGCTTTGTCAAGTGGAAGTTGAATTTGGCAGAAATTTTCTTAGTACTATACAAAATTAGACAATAGTTTCTAAGATTCATATACTTTTGTGTTTCTATTATATCACGCTATCCTAGACAGATGCAGAGAAGCTCAGTTAGAAAATAAACCTGACAGCATTTGCAAAGAGCTTTGTAATATCTTTGTTCCAAAGGTGAATGCCATTGTCTCTTCATTTCACATACATAAAAATCTTCATTCATCACTTTGATCTACAACAAATATCTAGAATATCTACAGTGGCTTTCTTTCTGGTTTTAGTGTCTTCCAATACCAAATTTCTGAGAATGACTGGATGTAGAGTCTACAGGAGGAGTTATCAGAGTTCACGCTTGGGTTCTCACATAGGAGAAATATATACTATTATTTTTTCTTGCAGATGGTATTTTCTCTTCAGAAAAATAAGGCTTTATAGACTAAAAATGTGATTGTCCATCATTTGGTACCTGTGCTGTAACTATTTACATAGTGCAGAGAATCACAGAATTAGGCCTGCATGTAGAATCTGGAAAGGCAACTATTCCACACAGTAAGGAAACTAATTAAAACAAATATAATTCAAAAATAAAAAATAATGTTCATTTAGATTCAAACTGCAGATATCTCTACACAACCAATTTGTCTGTTTGAGGCTGGGAAACATGAGTTACCCTGAAAGGGCTCTGAAGAGCGCACAATGGGGAATTTGGGAAAAAGGATCAATTAAATAGCGCTAATCGACTCTTCACTCTCCCCGATGATAGCACTGGACTCACTTGCCAAGCAGATGTTGGAATTTATTTATCCCTAGATGCAATGAACACATACCCTAGCTGGACACATTCATCAGTTTTCAGGACTCTAAGTACAGAAGGTAGCAGTTCACTATTACCTTTTTGAGTTGTCGTGTTTTTTTGTGAATGGTTTTGGTACATTAGCGTTTCAGTTCAGACCCAGGGGGGTTCTTCAGTTCACATGGTCAAGCCAGAACACTTCAGTTCACATGGTCAAGCAGCCTTGAAATGCACGAGCTGGGTTTTTTCAGATTAAATTAAACTGAGATGTGCTTCAACTGCAAACCATGAGCACTCCAGCAGCTAATGGGCATTCGGCCTACAGAACAAGACTACAGGTGCTGACAGTAAACTTCCCTAAAATGCGTATAGTCAGGATGCTATATCCTCAGCATGAACAAATAAACTTTGTAATACACTCCAGTTTATCTGCATACAGCCAAAGACAATTGGAGATACAGCCTCCAACTTCTTATCTAAAAATTGCCTTTTGATTAGATTTTTCCTCCAAATGTAGATTTGCTTTTAAATATATATATATATATATATTTTGGAATTCACTGTATTTGTAGGAGAAATTAAAAGGCATCTACACTCATACCTATAACAAGGATGATTTTTGGTCGAGGTCTTGCAGGATCAAACACATCGTACTCCTCAATTAGCTCAGCAGTTTCAGAGAGGTCAGTGTCACTTTCTATAGAAAACTGATGGATTGGAGGGAGTCGGTCATACCGTCGGTATGGGAAGTTAGGATTATCAGGAATCACTGTAAAACAGTAAAATAAACTGGAAATGCCGAAAATATCTAGAAAAGTTAATTATGCATAGATGGGTAGATTCAAAAAAACAAAAAGAATTAACAAAGTTTAGCATTTTTATAATTAAAAAGTAATAAAATAACTACTGTTTCAATGTGTGCTATTACTGTATTAAATATTCCCTTCCTCTATTTAGCTGATTTGTTAAATTAGAACAACTAAGACTCAGTACTTTTTGGAGGTTCTTTAAATTTAAAAGTATTTCAGTTTTCATGTGAAAAGGGGTTGGCAGTTGTACAGTTCAGATAGCCTGTGCTATTAAATATAACTCCTCTGGTACTACATGTTGTACATTGAGATAGAATAGGACTCTTGCTAATTAGTTCAATGAAATGCTGGATGGTCAGGAAGAATAATTATGGCAACTGAAAGATAAGGTAATTATTCATTGTTAACATTACAAAAAATAATTACAGGTATTGATGTGACATATGCTTAGCTTCTATGAATCTTTTTATAAGAATTTTGCGTGTATATTATTTTAATAAATTTGTTCACAACTCCAATATAAGCTAGAAAAAAAGACTACCTTTAATATCACATCACCCATGAAGACCAACTAAGGATAAGAGTGAAGTACATTAAGTCAACTTTACCCTTATCATTGTAAATGTTTTAGGTCAGACAAGGGAAATCATTCTATGTCATAATAAACATTTGCAGAGCAAACATCCATCATTAGGCTGCAAAATGATCACAATTTCCTCCCCTGCATAGCATCCATTATGGGGGGAGAAAACAAAATGACAAAATCTAAGTGAACAGAACCCTTGTAATGGTGGAAAGAATAGCTTCCCATGTGTGGCATTGTGCATTTATGTACAACATACTGGATGTGTGTGTTTGGATGCTTGTAACTTCTTGCTTATGGAATACCATAACGAAGCATCATCTGCTATAGAAGTACGTGGAAATTAAATCAGTTAAATAAAATAAATCAATAGTGGAGGTAAGACTGTCCATATTACAGGAAGTGCATTCACTTTTACACTTAGTACATTACCATTCCTGAAAAAAGATCTCCTGGATTGTCCTCCATTGAGTGGAGGGAGGGTCCTCTTTTCTGGACTGACAAAAGTGTCCCATTTCACTTTTTCTGCCCCTCCAAGCTCTTTTACTTTCTGCAAACAGCTTTCCAAATATTCTATTGGGTCATCGGGTTTGTAACACATCAATCCATTCAACAGACTCTACAACATCAGATCAGAAATACAAACCATGAAGTTAAATAACAGGAAAACATAAACTCTTTTATTTGGATTTGATTTACATGGAGAAATGACATAGTCTATATTCAGAACCTCCAATTCAAGCCAATGTGTGAAACCTGCAAAAATACACACATGGTGATTTTGCATGAGCTAGAAAAGCCCCTGAAGTTTCACATTCTGTGTGTCCTATTAGATCAGTAAAATCTGTTTCTTCCTAAAAGACTAGTATGGTCACAAGGATCTTTACACTTCTGAGTCAACGTTCTCTGATCAACTGACCAGAAATTCATAGCCGTTAGAAATTCCTCTTTTTTATTATTATTTCTCCCCTTTAGTGCTGATTATACACTCATTGCACCAATGAGCATCAGGAGGAGCCTGGAAGAAGCAATGCCAGGCCCTCTCTGGGTGCCTGGGAATTGATTTTCCTTGATGAAGTGATACCCAGGTCATCAGCTCACCGCTCCAAAGACAACTGCAGCCAACCTGCCTTAGGAGTCTGTTCCAGGGTGACAGCTTTTCCTTCATGCTCTTGGCCATTCCTAATTTTGGTGCAAATAAGCAGAGGGCCATAGCTGATACTTGTAATAAACAGAAATAGCTGTGATTCATGACTTTATATTTTCCTTCAATTATTTGCTATTATCTGCTGTTAATTCAAATATTTCCAACAATGATACACACATAGGCATTGACAAGAATATAATTTATATAAATATGCCCTTACAGCAGCCAGAAACACATTTTTCTCTAAGATGTGCACCATTTTTTTTTCAATTGCCAGCACAAGCCTCATGCCTCTGTTGAAAAAGCAGTTGCCTGCATCTATTGTTAAACAATATATATTTCACATGCATTAGTACAACACCCATACGGCCCAAGCCCTGGCACTTTAAAACACACATAACAAATATTTTTGCTTCAGAAGAGCCCAGGACAGAAATACGTTTAGCTCTGTGCATTTTACATCCAGGTAATCAGCATCACCAGGACGGGTGATGCTGAGGGGGCTGAAACGCACCTTGGACAGGAGAGGAGCAATGAGCGGCCGTTAGCAGCGGGTAACTTGTATGAAGCCGAACAGAGCTTATCGAACAGCTCGGGATTTTTTATTATTTTTTTTTCTTTATTTTCTCTCACGCTTTGTTTTCTTCTCGTCAGAATCGGGGGAACCAGAGGAGAGCAGCGCCCGTCCCGGCCGCGCGGACCCGTGAGTTGGCGCCCGCCCTCACACGGCGGCGCCTCGCGCTGCCCGAG